AGGTAAAATAGTTGTATCACTAATAGCTCAGAGAGTTCATAGCAAGATGAGCAGTCTTTTAGTGCTCAGAGAGTACCTTTCAAGTTGTTGTCTTTGAGGGTTTGTTTGGTTTGGTTTTCCCTAGAGGAAAACATTAGTTACAGGTACAAGTTCAAAACCTTTGGGGTAACATTCTTAATTTTTACCGAATGCTAGGTGAAAGAACGACCCCCAGATACTCCTGTGCCACTGTCTTTCTTTTTATGCTTGTCTTCCTTTCCCGATAGGCTGCTCTGTAATGGTGCTCCAGCAGCGGTGACAGTGAGGTGACGCTGCCAGTATAATTCTCTGCCATTGCGGTGCCGAGTCAGCACCAACACTTCAGTAGCAAGGGCAGAGTTGGTATTAAAAAGGTCAGTTGGGAAAACTTTTTTCGTTTGGTTTTCCTTTGCCTTGAGGCAGTGGCTTTGAATAGTGTTAACCCTTTTTTCTTCCCACACAACGCCTTTTCACCCTCTTTCCTTCCTGCCAGCTTTGATGCAAAATCACGTTCAAAATGTAGTGCGGGTGATTGTGTGCATCTCTTGGGGTGGGAGTGACCATTTGTGCTTGGGAGTGTCACCATGTGCTCTGGGAGTAAAATTTGCTCCTCTGTGTAGAAGCTTAGTAGGAGACCAGTGCATCAGAAATGGTTTGGAGCATGGTGTAGCGATTCTTAGGTATTATAATGTCAGGGGTAAACAGTAAACTTTGTGTATTCAAATGCGGTATCCCTCTTTGAAGTTATGTTCTCGTCTAAATTTGTATACTAGAAGGTCTGGCCTTCATTTAAATGATCCTTGGTTTCTTTAGAAAAAAAAACAGTGGGAAAGCCTTGAATAAAGTAAGCTAATAGCGTTGCTAAGATGGAAATGATGAAGAAGGCTCAGGATTCCTGTTTGGGCCTCATGGGAAAAAGTGGTTTGAAATGCACGTGTGTGGGGGTGCACATTCCTAAAACTGTCATTTGTTTCCCCTGTTTCTCCTCCCCCGCCGTGTTCTGTACTATGTACTACGGCATGTTTAATGAAACCAATAAAAGTATTTGGCTGAGAGTGTTAATCTTTCCCTGGCCCAATTAGTGCATGGCTTTTACTTTAACGTTAATGTGGATTTTTTTCAGAAGGCAGAACAATGAGCAGCTTTGTGCTACACACCAGGTTTTCCCCCTCTTTGCATGTATTGTGTGTTTTTTCCTATCTATTCCAAAGGGAGAACTCATGTGCAAAGACGGTGGAGCAAACTGGAGCAGAGACTTGTACCAGGTGCCAGGGGCCGGGATGTGCTTCTCCCTGCTTTTGTAGCTGCCTCTCAACAGCAAGTCAAGTGACTGTGACTCTGAAGACTCATCATTTCTTCTTCTTTCTTCTTCCTTCCCCTGTGGCCTGTGTTCTCCTTTTTGCTTCATCCATGATGCTCTTCACCAGAAGGAGAAGCAGCTGTAACTGTTGAGAGTGGTCTTAAACCAAGAAAATTAAATACAGATAAATACACATAAGCGAAGGGGGGAAGTAACTGTTGATGGGCTCAGCTTTAACATACTGTGGAGTCACACTTTATCCCAAAGGAGGAAATAGGTCTAGCAAGTGTCTTCCTGTACAGACTGCATGGGAAGCAACAAGGCTTTTTTTCTTTTTTTTTTTAGCTTTCTGCTTTCTCAGTTACTCTCCCATTAGCTGGTTATGTGGGGCATCAGGGGTGGGCCTCTGTCAGAAGCAGGAGCTAAAGGCCCTTCAGATTTCTCTGTGGGATTGAAGTTACCCAAGTTTCATGGTTTCAGCAACATCATCAAGTGGAGGGGACACATTCCCGCAGAAGAGCCAGGTCTGTTGGTGTGGCCGTGCAAAGAGGGCTGCTGTGTTGTTTGTTTGGTTGTCTCCGTGTTCTCCCCCCTCTGTCCCCGACATGTTAGCACTCTCGCTCTGTCACTTGCTCTCTGCTTTTCCTCCTTTTCACAGAGGATGATTGTGACACTGGGGGGTTTCTTCAAAGTAGAAGATGTCTTGAATGCTTGTGACCACTTCCCTGTTTCCTAGAGGCTTTGGTCCGATGTTGAATGCAACCTGAGGCGGCACTGTTTTGCCAGCCTATTTCCTGTTTTCCTCCTTCCTGGAGGTCTTTGTTTTCTTTTGGGGAGAGGGAGGAAGAAGGCTCCATCAGCACAACCTCCAAGCAGAGACATTTGGCGTGAGCTGAGAAGGCTTGCAGCCCTGAAGGAAGCCCGGCATAGGGCATCCGTGCTGGTCGCTGCCTGTGTGGTTCCCTGAGTTTCATAGGTGGTGTGGTAAAAAACACCACTTCCCCATCTTCAGTGATGCATTTATTTAAAGAAAAAAAAAAGGCAAAAGAAAAAAAAGCTGCAAGAGAAATCTCTCAGTATGTTCCTGCCTAAAGGCGCTCTGCCACGGGTTTTCCCACAGGAAGGAGTGCTTGGCCCAGTATTCTTATTGTTTCTATATCCTATTGCAAATAGAAAGTCATGTTTCTGAAATCGGTGTGTGCTGCTCATGCAGTTGTCTTTGGTTCAGTGGTGCATTTTTTCTTCATGCGAGAGAGTGGAAAATAAATATGTAAAGAAAACCATGCAACAATAATACCTATTTTTGCAGAAATTAAGTTGTGAACTTTCAGCTGCTTCCAAAATAGGAAATTTTTAATATACAGAAGACGGTTTTAAAAACAAGATCTGTGACTATACATCTTTGTTTGCGTTAGCAGGAAGATACTTAAATTCAGAAATAAAATAGCTGTTGGTTCATAGAAGTTGTGAAAGGCTGTAATAGCATAATACATAGTTTTCCGCCTGAAAGAAGAACAGAGAGCAAGCTGGCAGGTGTTTCAAAACCAGGAGGTAGGCTTGTTAATGTGTGCCTCACCTCGTTGTGATGAACATTTCACATTTTCACTGTTGCTAGAAGCAGCACTAGGAATTCTGACTCTCATTCTCTGGGAAGCTCCTCAGCAATCTTAAAGTTACCTTGGCCAACACAGGAGTCTTCACAGTTACACACTAGATTGACTTTTTCCAGGTTGAATCACTGGTGGCATTAATGTTCTAGGTATTGACTGATAGAGGAACAAATAGGTCTACTTTGGAAGGGAGAGTTGTTTTGTTTGGTTGTGTTTTTTTAAGGACTAAGGCATTTATTTGCATTGTTTTAACATAAATCCATTTCAGTAATTTAAACTGGTCCTTATTTTTCATGGTACTAAGCAAATAGAGCGAGCAACTTGGAAGATTTAGGCCAGTCTCAAAAATAACTCTTTTGTGCTTACTTTATTCAAAATTATGTCAGCTACCACATAAGAGGTTAAAAGATTGAGAGAGTGAAAAAAAAAGATGACTGTGTTGCTCTTGAATGAGATGGACCTTTTTTAAAAACAAACAAAATAACAACAAAGTTATAACAGTTAAGGACAAGCAAAATAAAGACTAACAAATAAACAACTCCCATGATTACCGGAGAAAATACAGAAGGATGGATCAAGAAATACCTGCGTTGCAGGGACCACAAGTGTTTTCTTAGCAGAAAAGGAACAAAAATTACGACAGGAGTGTTACCTCCAATTGTTCAGGATAGCATAAAAATGGTCTTTTCATCTGTTTTTGAAGAGGCAAATATAACAGTGTTTGTTAAGAAGTTGATGTTACCCAGAGCCTTAGACACTGGTCTTTGGTCCTAGGTTTTGTCTGTAGACTACACTGGCTTACTATGTCAAATCATCTGTGTGCTGCTTCTAGGAGGGTCGGCGGTTAAACGTAGGAAGCTTGAATCTGCTGCTTTGTCTGGCATTGCGTGAAATGAGGAACTGCTTGACACCAGCCAGGCCCTTTCTCTTTGTCTGCCTTTTTCTTGCGTGCTCTAAAATGTCAGTAGTTGGGATAACATAGTCATTTATTGTTTGCAAATGCTGTTCAAACAGCATTTGAAGATGTGTTACGTGACTGATTTGCATGCCATCCTTGAGAATATGTTTTTTTTTAAAAGGAAGAAATTCTGTTGGTTTAACCACGCTTGAGGCCGATGGTCTCTGCTTTCTGAAAAAAGGAAAACCTGTATTAAGTTTGCTGGATGCGATTTGGAAATCTGAGATGATGAAATGTCCACAGTGTGTTTGTTTCCATAATGAAATAACTATTTTGCTTGTAAGGTTATAAAGGTATATTTCTCCATTAAAAATGTATCAGTAGTTTTCCATATTACAAACAACCTTTTTCAGAGGCTGTCGCCATGGGCGCTGCAGGCAGAGGACTCCTCTCTTTCTCATGTGTCGGTCATTCCCCATCACCTTTAAAAATTATGTTTAACTGCCCTGTTACTCTAGCCAGAACAGGCATCCTTCCTGAAACCCCAACGATAGCATGATAAATTTGTGGTTTCAGAAAGGGGTGTGGAGAAATTCTGTCAGCACATATGATGGTTGCTTATGTCTTCAACTCATCTGGAAACCTTGGGCAGTGGGTGAGGAATGTGCCAAATGGTCCCACAAACCTCAGTAGTCATTTCACCACTGCTAGAAAGAAGAAAAAGGTCACCATGAATTCATGTATTGCAATAAATATTAATCCTCTGAGAAGAGAAGGGGGAAGGAGTGTGTGTATGAAATAGAATTACTTAAATTCTCTAGCTGCAGAATATTCTTCCAACTTCTTACTCAAATGTTAAGACCATCAGTGATATGCTAGCTTGCTCTCTTCTTCTCTCCCTCCACCTTTTTTTTGAGGGCCGAACACTGGGGACCAAGCCGGTAAGGGTTTCCTTCCTTTGTTTGCCCAGGTTTCGCCACTGGCAGAGGCAGCAGCATCTCCGAGCCTCACAGCTTTGCTGTGCTGGCACTGTTTACGTGCTTCTGTCATCAGACCTACATACCAGTCAGGGGAGCCCTCAAACTAAAGGGCTGTAGTCTTATTTTGCTAAAATGGCTTCCAGAAAAACTTACTCCCTTTCTCTTTTTCCCTTCTCCTTCACATAGTGCTAGAGGGTGCTGCTGAAGAAGAGGCTGAAGAGCCAGACGCTACTATACATACTACACTAAGTGAGACCAGCAACGAAGAAGAGAGCCACAGTCAATTGGGGGATAAAAATGAAGGTAACTGGTTTGACTAGCTCTGTGTGACTCTGTAAATTAGGGCATCGATTAAGGCTTGTAGAAGCATTTCTTACCCATCCATACCCCTTATTTATGTGAAGAGTGTAAGATACATTGAGTAGAAGCACTTGTGCATACGTTTCTTTCCCCATCTCTAACCCTGTCTGAAAAATGTGAAGTGGGTTGAGCAGAAGCATGGGCACATAAATACTCAACTACCACTGCAGCCTTCCAAACTGAGATTTTCTTGGCTCCCAGTAACTTGGCGCCACATTACTTTAGCCTCAAAAAAACACCTGGTTATAATGCTCAAACTTATCTTCCAAAGCCAGTATTATGCAGAGATCAAATGTTCACAGACAAATGTGTTCCTCCTTGTTCACCCTCACATCCTCTTGTGTTACAGTGACTTTCTCACAGAACACATTAAGATTCTGTGCTCTCACCAGAGGTGACAGAGCAGTAGACTTGCAGGGTGTTCCTGCTTGTTTGGGAGACTTCTTTTTGGGGAGAAGATTGTTTAGTTCGAAAGCATTTTCCTTTTCAAACTCGTAAAGAGGAAAGTGGAAGGCCTTACCTGTGTGTGTGACATGGTACATTGAGAAACCAGAGATGAGATTTTAGGTGTGTTTTGAATTTGGTATCTGAAACAGGAGCATCCCTGCTACACACAGAATGTGATGGAGAAGTCCGAATCTGAACAGCTTTAGCTGTGGTGTTAGTCGTGGATGTTGCACATATGCTCCATGGACTAACACAGCTTGATAGACCAAAAAGAAAAAAAATCCGCATAGATGCCAGCTGTGGCAGTAAAGAGGCATTTGGGGGGATTTGGGGGTTTGTTTTGGTTGGATTTTTGCTAATTTAGCTTATTCCATGTACAGAGCTGGCTTAAGCTATGCTGGAAAGAGAACCCAGTACCCTACACTATGTTACTAATGCCTTAATTGTGCAGTTCTGCTCAAAACACGTGCTTGCTTAAATGATTGTTCTTGCCAGAGCATGCATTCATCAGTACTGCTCTACTAGTTTGTGGTGATCACAAGATACCACGTACAATACCATTTTGCAGCAAGAGTTTAAGGTAAATCACTCTATAAGCCCCATACTGAATTAAGGTTGAAAATGAAGATAACGTGAATGTCCTATGAGAAGAAATGTACACTTTGTCCTATGTGTTCCAATATGGGAAACTTTTCCAGTTACCAGAACTTCAGTTATATATATATTATCCATGATGATCCAGCAGAGTGTGACACAAGTTGAAGGCAGCTGAAAATACTGTGGTATTTTATTTTATTTTTTTAGATGGTCTAGCAACTCCTATCTGTGTTTTTGTTATTAATTCCAGAGAAGCAGCTGGAAAGCTTAAACAGCTACAAGGTATCACCAAGTTCACCAAACAGTTTGGACGGAGCAGACTTGTCCTCCATTGATGCCATGATGTCAGCAGTGATGAACGTGGGGAAGATTGCTGAAAATGGCGGGAGCTCTCAAAATGTCAAATCCCCCTCAAAGTCTCCTGCACCAAATCGGATTGGCAGGAGGAACCAGGTATGTAAACCCAAATGCAGGGAGGGTGAAGGGGAGACAAGCAGCGGCATGGGAAGTGATAAGACATAATTATGTTTCTTTAATTGTTTTGCCTTTTTTTCCCTCAGCGGGTATTTCTTGCCTCCGCCATTGCTCCTCTGCGTATGTTTTCTGGTGGCTCTCCAGAACATAACTTTAATGTTACGGGAATCGAAGGGGTCCACTTGCTTGGATTCACATGTAAAACATTTGTGCATTAGCTCCGATGTCATGCAGTGGTGAGCTGGTCTAGCAGATGCCATTAGCAGTGGCAAAGTCACCTAAGAATTGCCGCTACTTCCTCTCTGCATCCTGGCTCTTGCATTCTTGTAATCTGTCGGGGCACCAGTTCGTTTCATGAAACTAGGAGAAAGGAAATAGCTTAGAGGGGAGCAGAGTGGTGTGGCAGGTGACTTGGCTCGGCCATCTTGTGGGACCCTTCATGAGGTGTGTGGCTGCCCCCGGGGAAGATCCAAGTGATTTAAGGTTAAAGGTGGTGCTAGAACAAAACATCCATCAGGACGCTCAGTTCACATGTGTGTAGTGTAAGGTGCCCTTTCTTCATTGTTAATAAAACGATGAAGAGCTATTGCAGAATCCTTTGTACAAATCTTGCAGAGCAAATATATGTAGCTTTTATCAGTTTTTTTCCATTTACCAGTTGATGGCACCAGTTGATAGCAGTATTGATCTAAACAAGTGAAAGGAGAGCGTTGTATCAGTTAAAACTGTGATTATTTATATCCATGCTTTTCTTCTGCTGGGCCAAACCCTACCAGTGAAGGTGCTGCAGAACGTTAAAAAATACCCCAAATGCCTGTGTCCATTTAACTTCAGAGCTTGCAGTGAAGCACAGAGAATTTGTAAATGAATCAAGATGTAACAGGGACCAGAAAGGTTGAGAGGCGTGACTCATGTGATGTTCCTATAGTAGTTTATTAATAGCTTGCCCAGTAGCTGCCCGGTTGACAGACTTACGACTTGTCTTGGATTTTTTTGCTTGAAAGGAGTTAAAAGCCATTAACTGTAAATGAACACTCTTAAATGAAGAGTCTGGGCAGTATATGGGCAACTGTGTTTGTAGGATTGTATTGTCTAGCACCTGCCTTTGAGGTTTATTTGCAGTGTTCCCACTTAGGGGCTGCACTGATTCCTTGATTTCATCATGTGAAGCAAGGCACTGGAGTTCAGGCTAGTCTCAGTGGCAGTGCTATTACACAGCTGCCCGCCGGTACACCATGTGGTTTGGCTTCAGGGAAGTTTATTAGCGTTAGTGACCTTTATTCCACCTGATATTTCGATGGGCATTGAATCAAAGGAAGCTTGAGAGTAAATGTGACAGGATTAAGAGGGATTCTTACAGCATAAAAATAAACAAATAAATTGAAAACATAGTAAATAGCCTGTTTGTTTTTAGGCTGAAAGATAGTTATCTCCAGAGGGGCAAATGGCTACATTACTGAGAAAATAGACGTGAGATGTGAAATATTAAATGGATATCAGTCTGACTAGCAACCTCTAATACAGTGAATTTCCACTTTCAGAATAGCAGAATGAAAGCACTGAATTGTTTGTGTGAAGCAGCACACGGATCTCAGATTCTGGTCAGAATGTGCCCTTTATTATAATTTCAAGAATAATAACAGTTAGCTAGTTTTCTGGGTCTGACTGCTCTTTCCCATGAGTTGCCAGCGAAATATTTTGCCCTGAACCTTTGTCCCAAAGTCTATGGTTATCTTTATAATGCTGACTTTATCTTGACTCTAGTCTATCCATAGTCTATTAGATGTTCTCACATCAACCTGCATCCATTTTAACTTCTCATTTGCGTTGCTCTTGAAGAAAATAAAAAGTGTGACAAAGGTGTTTCTTTGAGCTGGAAAAAAACAAATAGACCTAATGCACAACTCCAAATGCATTTGCCATCAGTTGAATGCAGAGCAGTTGTGCCAGGCTGACTTACAAAAGGGAGAGCAGCTTGCTAATTTTATCTTTCAGTTCAGGAAGTGTGTTTTCACCAACCTGGCTCCAGTGGGGTAGCTGAGTGCTATGTTTTAAATTTGTGAGTGGGGGTGCTTTTACAGTAGGGATGCTAATGTTTTTTGGTCTGGATTGGGTCAGTCAACAGCATTCCTGTTGCAGCTACCCTGGATTTGCTTGAGCTGTGTCACGGTATGTGGCATGTACCCTGTGTGACCACTGGAGAAAGTTTGGGTTTTAGTTAATAATAAACCCCAGATTCAATACTAATCAGCTCTGGCTGAGCTATAGTGTGTTTCTGATCTCTGCTTCAAGGTGAACCAGTAATTACTCTATCTTCTGTTAATTTGCTGATTTGAAGAGCAGGCAGTCTGGAAAGCAGGCTTTGAAACAATCAAATGCATCATGTAGAACTGCAGCACACGTTGCGGAGGGGAGGGGGCAAAAAAAAGCAGTAGGTTGATAATTTCACAGAAATGCCTTGGGGATTAAACACCATCTAAACTGTCAGCACAGCTGCAGGGATTTTCCTCACAGCACAGTGTGTTTGTTCTCTGTCCTGAGCCAACTTTAACAGGGTTGCAGTATAATTGGAGCTGAACGTTACTCCACAGACAGGTTGCATATAGTAAAAATAAAGTTGTATAAGTAGGATAGAATGCGCGGGTACGAATTACATGTTTGTATATAAAAATGAGGGAAGGCACTGGGGTAATGCTTCCTAATTTTCTTGGGATGTTCAGACTTCATAATGGCAGCATTTCTTGCTTGCTTTCTCATGTTTTGGAAGTAGTAGTACGTTAGGCCTTGGCCTGTGTGCGTGGCCTACAGTGATTACCTTTAGGATGGAGAGCCCTGAAATACAGTTAGACAAAGATATAGGGAGGAGTAGGAGAACCTAATCGTTGCGGTCCTGATCCTTTTAGAAGTGAAGTTACAAGTTTCGTTTACTTCAGGCAAAATGGGAAAAATAGCTCTTCATCCATGTCCACAGGTCACTGAAATTAATAGAAAATTATCAATGCCTTATTTTTGAAAACACAGTGTTAGATTTTAATAGGGCACTCTCTAGAATCATTCCCCAGATCATGTGGGAGGGGATATTTCTTCACTGAGACTTAAAAAAACCTTTCTCTAACACTACGTCAGCAACACATGCCAGAGAATTTGTCACAGAGACTTGAGTTAGTCATTCTCCACAAATGCTTGTGTCTGACAATCTGCAAGTGGTTGCTTCTGTATTGATGACTTTTGGGATGGCGATGGGTGAAAAGAGTTGTGTAGAGAGAGGAAATGCACGGATGCACTCATACACATCAACTCCCTCCCAACTAAAGAGCTACTGAGGGTGGGTTTTCTTTTTTGTTTGTTTTTATGGTTTTGCTAATGATACTTAAAATAGCCAGCAAAGAGGTTCAGTAGAACACGTCCTTTTGGCATAAATATTGTATTTTCCCATCGGTCATGCAGAGATGGTTTTTGTACTCTGTTGTCACCAGAAGTGTAGGTAATAGGCAGTGGATCTATCTAGCTCATGAGGATTTGCATCGTTCTACAGAAAACCGAGGTTTAATTTTCAGTGCCAGACCATCTCCCTTTTAATACACAGGCATTGGTGCAGAAGCCGCGCCTGGTCGTCTTAGTGAGGTGGTGAAAACACCCTTTATGTCATGCAGCAGCCATCCTTGCGGACAATTCAGGCAAACGCTTTTGGTTCCCGCAAGAGTGCCATTTCATCCTTGGCTGAAAGAGTGGTGGCTTTACTCAGTGTCTCAAGGGCATACTTAAATAAGGCTGAGCTCTCCGATCGGCTTCATTGTTTGTAGCTCGTGGTTTGACGGTAGTGACTCCTGATTCTCACCTGGGTGGAGAAAAACCGGGTTCATAATGTGTTCTTTTTGAGTCACGTACACTCCTGCATTGTCACCTCTTTCTCGCTATGATCTCATCAGATCTTGCAAGCTTCAGAAGGGCTGGGCCTGGCCGGTGTGCCTAGATGGGATGCTTCCAGGAGAAACACAGGATGCTACGGGAAGTGGTGCTGATGATTCAGTAAACGCCGCTCTAACATACAGCCCCTAGAAAAGGGCACTGAGCTAGTGCCTTGCCATCAAGATGGGATGGAAAACCTGAAGTCCCAACGACTTGTGCTTATTAAAGATCTTTTGGGAAGATTAGTGGCATTTGCCCAGATATCCTGGTGGTGTTCCAGGAATTACTTTCTGCTCACCTAAATTCCTCCTGGCAGTTAGAGCTGGTCGCAATAATTGCCTTCACTTCCTGTCCTAAACTGCTACTGCTGAGTATCCGTGTGCTGTTAAAACAGCTGCTGTACTTCTGCGGTAGTTGAAATGGCCCCTATTTATAAATTCAGAAGTTTTTGAAACTTCACTGAGGGATCTATCAGGATGATAAATGTACACGTGCCAGTTGTTCTGTTACCGGCCTTTTGTACTTAGTTTTTATTTTTTCCATCCCCAGCAGTAACAGCTTTTGAGTTGTCTTACATCAATATTCCTTCTGATTTTGTTGGGTTTTTTCCTTCACAGGAAACAAAAGAAGAGAAGTCTTCCTATACCTGTCCTCTGTGTGAAAAGATTTGCACTACACAGCACCAGCTAACTATGCACATTCGTCAGGTACGCAGAGTACTTGCTCTTAATTTCTTACTTTTATTAAGAGTGTTTGGTTTGCCGGTGTGCATTTTGCAGTGGTGAAAAACAATTCCATGTGCAAACCAGATACGCTTCATTATAACTTTATTCAATTGTTTTGCTTTTATTTTAGACTTCCCCTTATATTTTCTTTAAAACAAAAAACCCCACAAACCCAACCCCAAGGTGGGTAAATTTTCTCCCTTCCTTCCCCAACACTGCCTCCGCCAGTGGCTCAAACAAGGATATATGTCCTGTTCTGCATAGCTTAAGGTATCTCAAGGATCCGGAAAACCACTTCTATCATAAGGCATAAGTCCTGGTTTGTTATCCTGTTTGAGTACAAATCTCTTTACTGGTTGTGCAAATTAAGAAGCAGGAAGACACAATTTTTAAGTCATCTCAGTGTAGAAAAGCCTCCCAGTCCTTCACAGGATATAGTAATTTTGGGAGGCAGAATTAGAAATATACTTTTTAAATGGATGATGCATTTTTTTGTCAGCTACAGGCCGCCTCTTGCTCCTCTTGAAATATGTGCATACTTTATGAGGAGGTTTGGCATTTTCTATGTCAGAAAGGTTCTGCTTTGGATGCTAAGGTTGTGGTTCACCACTGTGAGTCCACTGGATACTTCAGTTTTCCCTCCTGCACTGTAACTGCTACTTAATTTTTTTTTTCTTACTCTCCTGGCGTTTTTGTTTTTGGTATGTGAAGAAATCTTCAAGTCTCTGAATGCAAGTAAGAAAGAGCGGTACATATAGCACAGTAGCTAATGGCCGTATTTTGGCCCTGTAAAGCATTCTTATGGCCATGGAAGTCTGCATGTGCACTCAGAAGCAGTTTACTTCTGTTTTCTTACTACACAGTCAGTTCAAAATTAATACCTTTAAAGAGTATTTGTTCTTAAGTTTCTTTTCGTCTGCCATGAAGTTTGTAATCACATCCTCTTTCTGTTTTTCCCCTTACCACTCGCCCAACCCCAAACCACTGCACAGCTTAAAGTATCTCAAGGTACCATTTGTCCGATGGGTTGTTGCTGAGTCCCTTTGTATCCTCTTCTGCTGCACACCCAGCAGAAAAGCTGCATGTGGCAGGCATTGCAGGCTGTATGAAACAGCTACTTGTGCTGGTGCATTAAGGAGTTAAAAATGAAGGGTTGGGGGTGGAGTTGAGGGGGGAGGGCTGGGGAGGAGAGGTATATACAGGGCACACCTTAATATAAGGTATTGTGCCGAGTGGCTCTTTAAAGCTGCTTTTGAGATGTTTATAGTTCTCGCTAATATTTTACTGGCACTTCAGAAGGAGCATTCAATGAAAAAAATCATTGCTTTCTCTAGCATAACACTGACACTGGAGGGACAGACCATTCCTGCAGCATCTGTGGAAAGTCTCTGAGCTCAGCGAGCTCCCTTGATCGCCACATGCTGGTGCACTCAGGTGAAAGGCCTTATAAATGTTCAGTATGTGGACAGTCCTTCACCACCAATGGAAACATGCACAGGTGAGTGCTGATCGTGACCCAGGAGTTTCAAAAGGATTAGAGGATAGGGGGCTGTTTTCCTTCCTTGGAGAGACTTTCAAGCTGCCTAAGACACTTATTTGGACAGAAAATGTGGACTATCTGTGATCTGCAAGTATGGCATGACACACATACGCACGCTACAGCTACTAGGGTGCTTAAGTTGTGGGAGGAAGTCAGAGTTGAGAAAGGTCTTCTAGCTCTCTTCACATATTATCAGGAGTTGTTACAGATATCCAGAAGTATTGCTTTTTTGGTTTATTATTTATCATCATTGTCATCATCATTATTATATTATTAGTTTGACAAATGGGATGGATTTTTCTCAAAAGACAAAAATATATAGCCAAGCTGTAGAGGAGCTTCTGATTTGTAGTTTCAGAGTCATGGATACAAATAGTTGTATTGGAGGATCTGTGATGGTGTTGTATATTATGTAGTTAGGTATCCAAGTGCCATCGTGAAGATGTCTCTTCAGAATAATTGACCTTGTTTTTAAATACATACATCAGTACTTGCTTGTACCATGGACAGCTTACTGCACTTACAGATCCGGAAAATTCTCTGTAACCCAAGTTACTAAATGTATTTCATGTAGTTTCCTTCCTAGGGATGTAGCAGTATGTACAGTTGTCAACTGGGAAAAAATGTTAAATCACATGGATTTCCCTTCTCCTCTCTCATCCCCTGGTTCAGTATTCATTTATTTGCATGGGTGGAGCACCTCTGAGCTGATTAAGACTTTGTGAATTCCCACATAGCTTTAGTCCCCGTATCAAAGAGTTTACAACCTACAAAGAAACTGCAAAACAGGTGGGGGAAAGGAATAGAGCTTATAAGCAAAACGACAAGAGTGATGGTTACAGACTGGTTCTGTGTGGGAGGGAAGAGATTTTGTTTCCTTGATTATTACCAATCATTTTCCAAGCAGTTGCTATAGGTGGAATGAAAGGGGTAATTTTGGTGACAATAGGAAAGATAATGTAATGCCACTCAAAGGAAGGAATAGCTGCTCGCAGCTTTAACTTTTCTGTATCATATTGTCCAGGTTAAGCGGTTGCGTGAAAACAGAGGAGAAACAGGAGGGAATGCAGTTTTGTAATTCCGTATTTGTTTAACTTATACTTGATTGGAATTGGGAAGAGTTGGAGAGATAAACATAAAATGGGAAGGGAGAGACACAAAGATGTTCAGAGGAGATACTGGCCTTGGGCATTGAATAAATCACACGTCTGACTCATCTGACCGGAGGTGTTGCGAGCCACATGTTTGCCAGACTGGGTCATTACACTGTCTGCTGTGAGGAAGGCAGGGCAGCCGCTGAGTTGCAGCTGATGCCACTGTCAGCATCCAAGGGTGAATTCCAGTGCTGGGGCTCTAGGGTGGTTGGACACTTGTGTCCAGGTCCTCAGCCTAGGCTGCTTGCTGAAGGGACTCCTTGTGGGGTTTCTTTGGCTTTTTGCTCGCTAGGCATCTCTTCATCCTCTCCCAGAAGCACGAATGGGAAGCTTCCTCTGAGACTTGACTGCAGGCCTATCAGATATTGATGTAGTCACCTTTGCTTTTGCCAGTTTCCCCATATAGCAACTCTTACCGTGCTTTAGTAGCAAATTTGCCAGAATTGCCAGTCTCAGTGACTTGCCCAAAAGAAGTAAGTACAGATCAGAACTTCCTCATGAGAAGATTGTTTGGTTTTACATTTACATTTTTCTCTTGACGAGATGTTGCTTGAAGTTACCAGACTGGAGTGCTGTATTTACTGGCTGCACTAAGAAGGACCTAAGTTCATGCAAGGAAAATCTTCCTATTAAAAGTTCTTTCCATCCATTGGGTTCCTGTCTGCTCTGTAAAACTCCTCCTTGTGTAGGCCTGCACCACAGCAGCTTGGTGGGACATTGCAGAAACCTGTTACTGAGCTTGGTGGCACTGCAGCAAGTGATCCCAGACCCGTGACAGGCAAGATTCTGAGCACACTGCAACAGGCTGGTTTTGCTGAAGGAGGGTAGTGATTGGCAGCACTGTGCCACCATTTTTTGCAGTGAATAACCTTTTCTTGTTGCTATAACAGACTATAATAGTGAATCCTGTTGCTGAAGCAGAAGGCATGAATGTGCAAGTAGGCAGATGAGGATAAATGCAAAGTGAAATGAAATTTGTTATCTGGTGCTATGACGCATTCACAAGGAAGATGTTCATTTTGCCCACTCACCGGCTACCTCCTTCCAAAACAGGTATTTCTAGTCTAAGGTGGTGTGAAGTAAATTCTTTTGTAGGCATCTCAAACTCAGCTATAGGATCAGGTCCAATGGCCTGCCAGTGCTGTGGATGTATGCCTCTCACATCACATTCAAAAATGCTTCTGCCTCAGGATCCCAGAGCAAGGACCTGCTTGCCAGGTCCTGCTTTGTGGGCAACTCCTGCAGGCCTTGCTTGTGGTGATGCCGTGTCTGTTCTCCTGCGCCAGCTGGGTGATAATACACATCCATTTTTCTTTGCTTGTGCGCACCGTTCCTTTGTTGTTCTCTATTTTTGTGCTATGGTATCTTAAGTAATGACAGATACATGCCCAAAACAGCAAAGAATAAGGTTTCTAACCAGACCCTGGGTAGCCAGCATGGTGGTATCCCCAGAGCATTGCACGCAGTGTGGGGTCAGAGAGAGAAGTTGTAGGTTTAACAGAAAGTTGTGAATGTGCTGCTAAAGAATCAATGTAGCTGGTGAAGGTGCTGCAGAAGCTTCCCAAGTACTACTGCATTTACACCAAATATGCTCAAGTGCACGGGAGAGGAGTGAGGAAAAAGTTAGTCTGCCAGTATCTGAACGGGGGGAAAAATGTGTAGGCACATGCTATGTACATCCTCTCTTCTCTTTCTCCCCCTCGGCCTTGTTCTTGCTCTTATTTAACTGTCTATACTATTTTTTTAATCCAGACTTTTAAAAGACCTTTTAGAATAAAAAGTCCAGTGAAATGGTTTTGTCAAGGGAAATATTGTGCCACAGGAGTGCTTATTGCTGTTCTGTCACAGGATGAAATATCTGATCCATTTTCCACCTCAATAGCAGCCAGATCATTAGACATTCAGCTGAGTGGAGGGAAGGAGACAAGTTTTGGTTGCTTTTCGAGTTAGAAAATATCATTGTTATACTCTCAAGTGCCCATCATTTCCATTGAAAGTAATTTTTCTCTACCCTCACTTTATTAAGGGAGCTCTTATTTGTTGCTCTTTTGCATGATGGCAAAACTTTTTTGCCATAGCTGGACTGTTTGTGGAGTGAGAATGCTATTTTCTGCCCATCTCTTCTCTGAGTTAGTCTGGCCGTGCTGGGCTGTTGCATGTATGCTTCACCTGTGAAATTGATTCTGCCCTTCCTGACTCCCACAATACATGCAGCACTTCATTTGCAAATGAGTCATAGCCTCTCACATGAAATCCAGTTTCTTTTTGTTGTGTTCCTTGGCTCCTTGTCAACAAGTCAAGTTGAATGGGCACAGCAGACAGGGGTGGAGGGGGAAGGTTCTCTTGTGCAGCACCATTCAGAAAAAGAGGTTAAAACCTGCTTCCTTTTCTGACCACAGTGACTCTTGGCCAGGTTTTTCAACAGAGTATCTCAGAGCCCAGGGCATCTCAGAAAACTCTCTTAGAGCTGCCAGACTACTCAGGAGTGGCCTGAGCCTTTTGTGGGGACAGTCATAGTTGGAAAGAGCAAAGGTCTTTGGAGAGTTCTCAATGTCCAGAGCGAAAAGCTGACTTTGTCATTCTTCTGAGTGTGCCATCAAGCTAACTGCCTCCATATCAGTGCTGCTCCTGCTGTTTGGGGAGGGTTGATGCAATCTGCTGTGATATCTGGGAGATCCAACAACGTCTGGTATCAGGAAGAGGAATTGCTCTGGAGGAGGAGCGCTGGAGACGATGCTGAGTTTTTTACAGGGATTTTTTTTTGACCAGTACTGGAAAAAGCAAGTCTTCTTGGAAGTAGCAAGCCTTCTAGCATCAGGGACTGATTTGGGGATTTGGGGTGTTGTTTTCTCGGGGCTTTTTAGGAATTTGGAGGAAGGAGTTAGATCATAGTAATTGTGAGTTCAAAATCCCTGTAACTGGAACTGCACTGCGATGATCAGTACGTAAGAAAATCTGCTGTTTAGGATATACTAATCCTCATGCTTTTACGCTGGAGACACAGGCGCTATGGCTTTCTCTCAGTCACAGTGAATTAAAGTTGAATATTCTTGTATCTCCAGCAGGAGCATGAACTATATGGAAGAGGGTGGGGAGTGTGTGCAGAGTTTTCTGTAGCTCTGAAAGAGCTGCGGATTTCCGAAGTAGTGTCTCACATCAATAGATTGCAATTACTAAAGGCTTTCCAAAGGCTTTCCATCTGTACTGTCACAATAGCTCTCTAGAGAGTTTATCTATGAATAGTGCCAACTCTGAGGAGCCTTTCTGGGTCTGGAGTGTGCCACCAAATAGGAGGTTGCAAGCCTCTTACTCCATCTCCACTGCTGCATCTCCACAAAATGCAGACAGAGGAGTTAGGTTGCTGCTGTGGGTTTTAGTGGTGGTGGTGGTTTATAAGCTTTAGCAAGAGACTTTGAGGTAAAGACTTTGCTTGATTTACTGTGTTGCCTTCCAGTAGAACATGCATCAGGCTTCAGGGGGAAGGGCGATGCCTCCACCTTCTCCAAAAGGGTTTCCTTTGCGGGTAGGAGACTTTGCCAATGGCTCCTTTGCCATTTCAGTGACTGAGGATGATCTGTGCCTATCACTTTAAAATCACATTTTCCTCCCTGCCAAAAACATGCTCTCCATGCAACTTGAAAATGTTAATAGGATATAAATGCCAGAAGGGAGGCGAGAAATGACCTTCCTGCCAGTTTCCAGTGAGTAGCTATTAAAGGCTCTGTGGCAAGTCTGAAAAGAGTAAAGGGGTGATATATGTATTTCAGCCACAGCTTCCCCAGCTTGGTAAATAAAGCTGCAGTG